GGGGGTCCGACTCTGCCTAAATCGGTTTAGATTCATTTTTGAAATTTTAAAAACCATTTGAAATCATAATAACTGCATATTTTTTTTTTATTTTTTTAAATAGGAAAAATTCATACAAAGCCATAAAACTTAGCACATGTTTGGACAGTAATTGAATTATATCCTAAGCTTCCATAGTTTTTCTAATTAATATTCACATAAATATTCGTAATACTCACAATTTTTAATCGCTTCCAGGAAAAAAAAGCACAAAAGTGTCCTATTTTAGTCATTAGTCAATTACAATTTTACAAAATAATAGAATCTGTATTTAAATTATCATTTTGATTTAATTTTTAGTTTATAATTAATGCTCTATTTAGTTTAATTAAAAAATTAGATTTTAAGTAGATTTTGATAAAAGTTAATCAAATGTGAGGAAAAATTGTGGGTTAACTTTTACTTAAATTTCAAGTCAGATTTTAATCCACGACAAACATAGGAGCTATATTTTTATTTGTAATTGATGTACATCAAAATTTCTCATGCGTGTTTGTGTTTTTATGCATTAATTAAAGTGGTTCATTGCATACTAATATTGATCACAATTAATAATAAATAACATTACTCTTTCTAAAATGACCTAAAGAATTAAACATTTTGTACCAACCAAAGAAACCAATTTTGAAGTAACAAATAACTAGTGATTGACTTTAAAATTAATTAAAGAAACATGTATACCAATTATTTGGAACTGGGAAACAATGAATGTGATGACATATATTGTAATTGTCAATTGCCATGTAAGACTTAATTGGTAGAGGTGAGTTGATGCGAAGGTGGTGGAATGTTAAGTGCCTGTTTGACAACAATTTTGATAGAAAAAAAGAGTTTTGAATAGTGATTTTTCGGAGAATGTGTAGTTAAAAAATATGAAATTTTTTTTGATATAATGTGAATTTGTGGTTGAAAATGGTCTGGTGGCAAACCATAAAATAAATTAAAGAATGTCAAACATGTGCTAAAGATGATAGCAAACAATATCTGCGGGTCAAGCTAAAAGAAGATGGTTAATGTGGTGGAGTCGAGGGGAAATACCGAGGGTTTGGAGGAAGGGGGTTTTCTGGTGGGAAGTGGTTCGATTTTCGACTTCTTGTAGCTTTTTTTTTTTTTTTTTTTTTNGCGTGTCCTCAACTAATTTTAAAAGATTATAAATTCTAATGAATTTTGTGAATTTGAATAGATTTCCACAAATTCCATAAGAATCTCATCAAATATGATAAAATTTCAAAAAGATTTGATTATATGTATTTTTAAACTTGAAATCTATCCAAATATTTTAAAATCCACCTATTAATGAAAATTTTATAAAGTCATTAGTTATTGAGGGTATCTAAATTTCAAATAATTTCATTGAATCTCAATTGGGGACATTTAAATTTTAACGAATTTCATTAAAACCTATTAAAATCTTAATTGAGGACACCCCTATATTCACACCATAATGATTAATAACTAGACTATATTTTAATTGTATGAAATGTTCATAACCTATACACACTATCACATTTAGTCTCAAATTTTTTTTTCATTACATTCTTATTCTCATAAATTAAGATAAATTATTCATAATTATGAAATCTCTTCAAAATTTTCTTTAAGATATAGTAAAAAGAATCATTGTCCATTATATTTTTAAATAAGCAAAACAAATAATGATGTAAAAACGCAATTAACTATTTGACCTTCATTTTAAAGTACGTTAAAAACATTTTTGGACGAAAATTATGATTAAGGATAAGATTTTCTGATCAATGAAATATTAAAAATAAAAATATGATGAAGAAAAAAAAGTTAAGGATATAAATGTGATAATGAATAAATGTTACTAATCTAACTAAAATATGACGTATTTAACCCTTTAACTTAAATCAATAAAAAAAAAAAAGGAAGAAGAAGAAAAAGAAAAAAAACAAACAAAAAGAATAAATGAAAAAGACCGAAAAATGGGTCAGTGGGGGCAAAACACGATTACGTAAAAAATTATTTCAAATAAATTGGGAAAGAAACCAAAAAAATCTGAAAATATGAATTTAAAAAAGCCGCATTTGAAATGTGGGTCGGACCCCTGGGGGGATCATCACGCCATTAGCATAATTCTTATCAGCAGGAACAAAATGATATAAGATAATTATAGAGACATGGTAATTTTTGGAAGAATGAGAGGGGTGTCAGTGGAACAGTCAGTTGCCATGCTTATCTTATGTAATTGTGTACGGTAAATTATTAGGGTGTTTGATTGCCACATTTTTTATGGAAAATGTCAGGTACGAAGAAAATGAATTTTTAGCGTTGAGATGGAATATGAAAAGGTGCAATCTTGCTGTTGCTTCCGGTGCCAATTTTAGGTGGATTAGTGTTGGGTCGGAGAAGAACAGCTCCAGGCTCACATCATCAAGCTATAGAGATTTATTTTCGTCAATGATAAGTTGATTAACCACGTTCCGGCCAAATTCTTGCCTGACACAGTGCACAAGGTAGCGGCGAAATGTAGCACCTGCTGTGAAATCTTATCTTTTAGTTTTATTAATTTATTAATTTTTGAGTAAAAATGCATTCTTACTCCCAAAATGTACACCAAACAAGGGCTAAATAAAAAACGCGGTGATAATGATTCAATTAAAATCGCATCAGATTTTGATACTTTTTGTTTATTTTCCGATTTTGAGTTCGGTTTCGGTATTCTGCAGAACTTTTAATATCTGCAGCGAAAGTTTGATTTGTTTGAGGTTTAAAAGTTTATTTTTAATCACATATATATATTTTTTTACTTTTTTATCGCACATTTTTTTTAAAAAAAAAAACATTATTATAAAATTTATTCTCTTAAAAAATTAAGCTCAAAATAACTTAAATTCGATTCAAGTTCATTATTATATTTAAACATCTATATCAAATTAATAGTAGTCTATGCTTGTTAGTTTGACCAACAAAAAATCTAAATTGCTAGTCGGCTCGAATTTTTTTTGGACATATCTCGTGACTTCTCTACTAATCAAACTATAGACTTCAAATTCCTTGAAAATATAGCTTGGTATTTTTGGTTCCGTACACACACGGTGAACCGTGAAAGAATATAATGAATCGGTTTATTTAGGGGTATCCGGGTATATGCTATGGATGCTATGGTGGGAGAGAGGCATTCACCTTAGGTGATTAGAGAGTGGCCGATGGCTTGCTGGGTTTTCGAGTTTTGGGTGGGGTGAGGTGACATGACGTGAGGGGAGTTGATGGTGTAGAATTGAGGTCGGTTCAGCGGTTAGCTTCGGCTTTTAATTTTTCTTCCTTTACTCTTATTAGTATTGTTCAGTTCAATACAATTCTTACGTGCTAAACACGAAATATATAATAACATAATATTCTCCTAAAAATAACCTTATAACTGATATATTACTAGAAATCACTCTTTCGAAAAACAATTTTCTTGCACACAAAGTCACAGGGTGGCATCATAGCAGGAATATTCTGGTGTGACGCACAACCTCGAACCACTATCCACGTGTCTCAACCTAAGAATTTCTATTACTAGGTTATCTTCTTTGCTCACATTACTTGTCCCAAACACTTAGGAAGGGCCAAAATTATCTGCAACTAACACGTGTCTTATGGACGAGGAGAACCGCGTTTGCGTGCCAAACACAGAAGATTTCCTTCCCTCACGGTGAAGTTATCAATTGTTCCACTTCAATTATGAAAAATATCACATTAAATATATATTCAAATATTCGAAAACTCGATAAAGTTTATTTAGACCTCATTTTCTAATGAAACTACACAACGAAATTTTTCAAGGATAAACATTAAAATTTGATGTCCTTCTAACTAATGTAAACAAAAGTAATGTTATTCCAGCTATCTTATTTTATAGTGCACACGATGTTAGATTACGATGACTCAAATTTTGTTTGGTCCGACCCGACATATAAGGTGAAATCAAAATTCTCGCCGTATAGACCTGTTTTATTATTCCCGCGGTATAAAATCGGTCTATATATAGACATGATATATTTTTAGAGTTTCATTATATGATCATTCGGATTAACAGAATCTCTTGTACTCATATTTGATATAATGGATTTCTCCTTCTCTATTTGTATCTATTTTTCATATTAGATTTCCACGTAAATATTGTTCTTATTTTCGCTTTTTCATACACAAGTTGGTAAGAGTTAAGACACTTGACTTGTGTAGACAAGTAATTGTGCAAGCATGAATGCATTAATTATCCATTTAAGGTCTTAGATTTTACTTCTTCTAGGAGTGTGAATGTACATTAATTTGACTAATATTTTGTGAAAAATGTAGAGAAGTCCTCTAACTATTTGACATATGGCTAGTTAGGTCACGATTTTCAACACAAACAATTATGGGAGGAGTGTCGATTATCAACATTAATAACTAGATAATTTACAGAATTTAATATCACAAATATCTTGCTTATCAATATTTAATGCCATGAATAGAATTTGGAAAGCGATTAATAATAAAAATGGAAAATCGTGATTAAAGTCTTTTAATAAAAGCAAATTACCAAAATTAAACACAAACATATATTTATTCCCGGCATGTCCATATTTTTCCATGTGTTAGATTCAGACGATGTTCATAGTCGACAGTAATAAAAGTATTTTTCCCAATTAGTCCTCGCAATAACTTATAAATATAGACTACAATATAAAAGAGTGATTAATAATTAATTAAATAAATAATACGTGTTATTGAGATAGGTCGATTTATCCATAGAGAATATTTAACTAATTAAATATAATTCATAAAGCTAAACCTGTACAACACTACCACCGTCATTCCTCACGCAACTGCCAACTCCTCGACCCTAACCTTACATATATATAATCCAGAATTTCGTTCAGTTCTTCACTATCTTACTTCACAATTCAGCACTCTCTCTAGAATCTTTCCAAACCCTCAAATTTATCTTTACCTTTTTTTACACATAACCAATGGCCCTTAAAGCTCTGAATTCACAGGCGGCGCCACCTGCGCCGCCGACACCGGCACTAAGGCATGAGGAGGTTGATGCAAACAGGACTAAAGGGAAGCGCTCAAAGCGTTCACGCAATGACGTCGTACCCAATCATATGGATGATGATGAATTCTTGGCTCTCAGCCTCGTGATGCTCTCTCGCGGCGCTCCCTGCACCTCCGGAAACACCAATTGCGCCACCGTTGAAACGAAAAATGATATTAAACCTGTTCCCATAACCAGCGAACGTACAACTGTAAAGAAAAAAATAAAGTTGTCTTTGTCTTCGTTTCCGTCGACTGGGATGGTAGCGGCGCAGCCTCAGAATCCTTACCAGTGCAGTGTTTGTAACAAGGCTTTTCAGTCATATCAAGCACTAGGAGGCCACAAAGCCAGCCATGGGATTAAGTACTCTTCTGCCACCGCTACTGCATCCAAAGATGGTCACCTCTCGCCGTCAACATCCACTGTCACCGCCTCTAATACCACTTCGCTCAAACTAACCGCTAAACATCACAAGTGCACCATCTGCCACAAAGTTTTCTCCACTGGCCAAGCTTTGGGTGGCCACAAGCGTTGCCACTATGAAGGCGTAATTGGAGGCGGTAACAAGAGCAGCATAACCTCTTCCGAAGGCGCCGCCTCCCACAGCCATGGACACAACCACACCGTCCGTGACTTTGACCTGAATTTGCCGGCGTCGCCAGAAATTGCCTTGGATTTGATCCTTTACCGGCCGGAAGATAAGAGTCAAATAATTATTTACGAACAAGAACAAGAAGTAGAAAGTCCCCTGCCCGTGTCTGCGATTAAACCGCGTTTGTTTCATTGAAGAATTTCTTAGAAAATTGATTAGTACAGAATTACGGGATTTTATTTCATTTTTTTTAATATTTTGGTATTTTCTTTAGGAAAATATTATTGGGGTTCATTGTACTTGAACTCTCTTGATCAGTCCTTTTATTCATAGTGTTATATGGAAATTATTAATTTTAATTCCGTGTTATTTATTCTTACATAATGTTCACACATAAATTAGGTTTGCTCATAAATTTCGAGTTGACTACACATATCGTTTTGATTACTAATCGTGGTTCGAGATTTACAAAAGATAATTAGTAGTGGTCACCAAACATATTATATGAGATTGGATCTATAATTCAACATAATCGAATTAAATTAATAAAAGTCAAAAATAAGTTTAGAGGTGAATAAATTTAAAGTTTTTATTACGTAATTATTTCAATTCGAGTTCCCTCATGGCCACTGAAATGAGTATTCTGCAGTAAATTTCAGCACCCGTGGGATTAGACGGGTGCCCGCAAACTAGTCTGGACATTCATGATTATTAAAAAAAAATTACGTAATTAGGTTTGAGATTTATATGAGATCATTAACAAATATTACTTGTTTTTTTACTTTCTTTTCTCATTCTTGCCACCTTTTATAATCTCTTGAAAACGAACTTCTTTAAATCTGTGAAAACAATTTACGAGCTGTTATTATTATTTTTTTCTTTAATTGACGAGTATAATCTTCACATGTACATTACTTGACGTGTATTTTATTCACAAAAACTAGATATCGTTTGTTGAGTTACGCGAAATTACCGTATCTTGCAAAAGAAAAAAAAATATTGACTTTCGATGAATCCTTATCGACTCATGTTGGCGAAACCCAAATAGTTCTCGCTCAAAATAAAGGATAATTACTAGGAAGCAACAATCAACGTTGAATTGGTACACATTATACGCAGAATGATGGGGAAGGAATTTTCTCAAAGATCTTTACGCTGTCTTCAAGAAAGAACCAATTTTTTTTTTAATTTAAAAATAATTATTCTCTAATATTAAACTATTGGATTAAACAGTTTATTTTCGTAATTGTTAATTGTTGTTACGTTATCTATCTGCCTGATCACATGGGAAGTCATTAAAGAAACAAGAAATTGAAACTTTAGAAAGATTGCTTATGTAAGAGAGATCTAATAAGTAATTACTTGTATAACAAGTAATTCAATGTGTCATCAAACAGTTATCTTTTGTTTTTATTAGGGTTTTTTTTTGGATGCAATTGAAATATTAATTTTAATATTTTATTCTTTCCATTTTGTTAATTAGCCAACATGCTTGTTTTTGTTCTTCAAATTGAAAAATACTTACATTTAAAAATGGGGTTCGGTGATTTCGAGCCTCCAATCAGCTCCCAAGCCGGGCAGCCATTTTGCCATCCCTACGCATTTCTATCGTCTTCATTTGTTGACGACTTTTTATTTACAAGAACTAGTTAACTTTATGTTGACAATTAAGTCACCAAATGAGAAATTAACTTATTTTGCAAAAGTTTTGACACAATGTTTTGATGCAACCTTAAATGAGTTAATCCATATTATAGTATTTTTAAACCTATTATTCTTACTGTAGAAGGTATAATAATATTTTCAATGTGCTCAACCATACAATGCAAGATTTAACATGGCCAATATCAATTTCCGTTTCGCTACACCTTAAGGTGTTAGAGAAGTGAGAAATTTATTTATTTAAATTTGATCTTTACTATGATGCTGAATTCAACTTTTTATCAAACCAAAGGTAGAGATTTATCTATTCATTGAACATGTACCAGCTAACTATCATTCTTGTTGCTGGTTTTTGCAGATGGCACTTGTAAACGAGAAATCAAGAAATGTAACTTGCCAGCTATTCGCCTGTCGGATTTCATTAATGAGCTTTTCCTCTCGACTTCGTCTAAATATTTTTCTACGTAACTCAAGAACAATTATCTACTTCGTCCTGCAATGACGTTACCAAGTCAGCATCGCGGATGGAGTACTTCCCCTGGTCCATTCGGGCTGCCCATCGCTGTCAGGTGTCGATACAAGAAGAATATGAGCACAGCTTTTATTTCAACAACTGATACATGCACCTTTTGGTTTAGGATTACGGCTTAAATTAATCAATTTCTTCACAAAAGCTATAGTGTTTGGAGAATGACAGCATGGGGAAAGATCAAGGGCCGCGGCTGATGTTATCCATGTAGCTGCATTTCTCTTTCTTTCAAGCGCGATATTCAGTGTTTTCTTGACTGAATTAGTCCAGCATGATTCGGTTTCTGATTTTCTCAACGGAGTTTTGCTTTTAGGGACTGAAGTATCGATCTTGAACATCTCAGATCATCCTGAAGATCAAAAAACTTGTCCACAAATGACTGCGTGCGGATCATGATCTCCTCCTGCTAAATGGAACCCCGTAAAATGTGTTGTATGTTGAGAATTAAAAACTCTAATAAAACAAAAAAACAGAGATGCAAGATTAATAAACGTTCCCCCAATGTATGATCACGCCATCTTCATTCACTCTAATTCACTGTGGTATAAAAAAGTTTACAAGAGAAAATCACAAATCTTATCTCTCTAACATCTCTCTTTTTTATGACTATACAAAACCTTAATAATGAATCCCTATTTATAAGAAAAATTAAAATGAAATAAAAATTATAAGTGTGAAATTTTGAAGTTATAATCCTTCATGAAATTTTGGTTTGGAGTTGTAGTATGTCCTTGCACCCCCAGCAGGCGGCCTTCCCATGACTTTTCAACCCCCACTAGTGTAGGTGTTTGACAAAACAGATGAATACTAAATTGGCCACTATGTGCTAGTGAAGGTACAGCTGTGAATTCATTTCAAACCAAGCCGCCTATTCATTTCAACTATGATATTTTTTACGGAAAATTACAGCAGTGACTAGTAACCTTTTCAATTTTTTGTAAACTTTATTCTAAATTTCATTTTGTGCAAATGAAGTCCATAACATTTCATAAATATGCAGCTGAAGTCCATCTGGACGGAAATCGTCCACTTTTCTTTTAATTGACCAAAAAATAAAAAAATTGATCAATTTTGACCAAATTAAAAAAGACAAAATGGTATTTTACATTTTTCTCATATTAATAAGTTATTTAATTAAATTAAAAACAAAAAAGTAAATATAAATATATAAACCCCACCCCCAAATCACCTCCTCTTTTCTTCTTCTTCTTCGACAATACACTACCACCTAGCCACTACCGTCACCTTCAACCACTATCACCACTGCCACCACAATTCTCTCTCACTACCACCCCCACTACCTAGGCCAGCAAATGCCCACTGCAAACTACGAAAACTCATATCAAACCAGTAACCTTAAAATTCTGATCAAGAGCTGTAAGCCAAGAGCTCTAGTCGAGAGTTTTGGTCAACCCACACCTCCTTACCCATCAAAACCATAACACAGAACGTCGTGGCCGCAAAAACCAAAACAGAAAGCCACTAGAACACAAAATTTGTCGAAATCAACAAACCTCACAAATAAATTAATTCAATTGCCTTTGATTGAAAGCACAATCCCAATAATGGTATAGAACCACCACTCAATTTAATAGAAATTACGTCTATCGCCTCCATCCATTCCTCGCTCAATTTTACAGAAAAACCTGAACCCAGCACCACTGCCCATTTTCCATTTTCTTTGCATAACATGAAGCTTCTGAATTAAACCCCAAATTCATTAAACATGGTCTACTGTTCGAAGACTCTGCAAATGGGACTAGAGTAATTCACTGTGAAATTCAGTTGCTGTTGTAATTCTTGAATTCGGCCACTGGTTTTTATATGGCTACTATAATTCTTGAATCTTGTTTCGCCATTTTCGAATCTAGCTGCTATAATTCAAGTTGATGTTGTAATTTTCGAATTCGACTGCTGTAATTTAGTACGAAAATTTTTGTTCGATTTTCGTTAAGGTTTGGTGGGTCAGGCCGACAGTGGTGAAATATGGTAGCAAAGATGAAGGTTTTTTTTTTTTTTTTTGGTGGGGGCGAGGGCAGTTTATCTTTTTATTTTAATTAAATAATTATTAATATAAGATTGACGAAAATGCCCCTATTTAAATTGGTTAAAATATTCATTTTTTTCATTTTTTGGTCAACTAACAAAATGTGGATGGTTTCCGTCCAGATGGACTCCAATTACATTTCATGAAAGGTTAGAAATTTTTATTGACACAAAATGAAGTTTAGGGTAAAGTTTGTAAAAATTGGAAAGGTTAGGAACCTCTGCTGCAATTTTTCCAATTTTTTATTTGAATTTTTGCACTATTGACACTCAACTTATTACTCTAGTATAAGTTGGTATCTAATCTTAGAAAAGGAAAATTTTTGTTTCCCATCACATAGGCCAGGATTTTGGCTGGGTTAATCTAGGTATTTCAATATCCAAAAATATGTATTATATTTCGAGTATTTCATAAATGAAATAATTCGAGTCCATATAATTACTGAAATTGANTTTTTTTCAAAAAAAAAATAAAAATCGTGAGTTGATAATATAAATTATCTTTTTAATACTTAGAAGAAATATAATAAATCATATATATAATCAAATGCATATTTTAATAGTTTCTTAATTCACTGTAAATATGTTGCCAAATAGTATCTAATATGTAGCATAATAACGTGAAATATGTAACAAAATATACAATCAAATAGTATCCAATAACTACATGAGCCTAAACACCAAATTACATACCCAAAGAACAACCAAAAAACTAGAAACCAACAATAAGGAAGTGATAAATTATTAATACAAATCAATATTGTCGATTTTTCTTTTTATCCCATTGGGTAATTCAGGGAGAATAAATTATAAAAAATTTAGAAAAAATGACAAATTTCGTTTCAGAGCCGAATATCCACGAATTTTGGCTTAAAAATCAAAAACTGTCCGGGACCTGATCGATTCTTGGTATCAGGTCCTAATTTTTTTGGAACTTTACTGGAACCTCCATTTGATTTTCAATTCATATTAAAATGCCCATCCCTACCACCATGTTATTATATACAATCGACGCCCTTAAAACAAAAATGTTCCAAATATCCAACAATTTATCACTGATCACGTGAAGCAAAACTCAACTTTAAAAAGTTACATATGAGCATCATTTGACAATTATTAATTGTGCAAGTGACGATTATATCAACTAAGCTCCTAGAGAATAAACTAATAAACAGGTCATGAGTCGCCTTGACAGTCTCAGTGCAAAATGCAACTAGGACTTCAAACATGAACTTCAGGGCCGCCAAGAAATGAGGTGAACTTGAGATTATACGAAAGAGTTGAATTTATTTTTAAAGCAATAGGTTGAGGATAAATTGCAAAACTATTTCTAAATAAAATAGTTAATGGGAGACTAATTAGATAAAAAAAATTTATCCTTTATTTTGATTTTGATAAAAATTGATGAAATATGGAATTAAAAAAATAATTGAATTGTAGATACCATGAAAAATATAATTAAAATTAAATGTTGAACTTTGGTTTATATTTTTATAATTTTTATAATTAGATCAAACACGTGTTTAATGTAGAGTAAAACTACAAACAATGATTTTTGACCTTTGAGACGCAGCCATGGTCCACTGTAGAAAAACCACGTGAGCAAATTTGCCACCGGTTTGGGTATTAAAAAAAGAAGAAGAAAAAGAAAAGGAGGGGCGTTTAATCCACTTCACCTCAAGCATTGCAGCTATAAATATTGAGTCCATAAACTTTTACTTCACATTCATAATTCATTACAAAAGATTATCAATACAATCCACAAATGGAAGGCTTAATCCCATTTCTCCTCCACGCCATCAAGAAACAGAGGCCGCAACACGCATACCGCTGCATCTCCGACAGCTCCACCCACAGTTACCACCTCCTGCAGTCAATCGAGGGCGGCTCCTCCCACCGGAGAACACGATCCGAATTTCAGGAGCCGCCGGAGACGGTGGACAATTTGTCCTACACAAAAAGCTGCACCAGAGCTTGCGCGGCCTCTTGTTCAGAAACTAACAACGGCTTGAGACAAGGATTTTGCTTCAACCACTAATTAAGTCGACGAAAAATATCATAAAGTTGGGTATTAATGTTATTGTTTTATATATCTTTGGAGTAACCCAAAAAAAAAAATGTTTCATATAAATGATAGTTTGGTGTGATATGTGATGAATTTTGAGCGTAAAAAAAAAAACCATTTACGCTTACCAGGAAAAAAAAAAGTGTAAATTTATAAGTTTATATTTTCACGTCAACCGTGAAATTCAAGTGACTCTTCTGTTCGAATATGAAATGAAAATAATTTGTGTATGAAAAAGTATGCGACTACAATGATTAGAAATTTCGCGTCTTTCGTATAATTTTATTATTTATATCAATTTGTAATCCATATTTCAGATTTTTCAAATCTCAAAGAACATATAAATCCTTTAGAACATGTTGATTAGAAATTTCCAAAAAACAGTGAAATCTATGGCGAAATTTGGGGTAATTTGCTATATATATAATCCATATTTCAAATTATACAAACCTCATTGATCACTATACATCGTGATTAACAAATCCATCATTACAAAGGATGCAAATCTTCAAAAATCTCGAACAAAATATAGGAATACCACAAATACAAAATGTCTGAAGTTCTTGGCTTCCTCTTTGTTTGCTATTGTCCTCTTACCTCTCTTATGATATGTGTTATGAATTCGATTCATCTTATTTCAGTTTACCATATTTCTATTAGTACTTTGTCGAGATTGTGATTAAAAAAACCTTATAAAAGAACACTAAAACTATAAATCTTGACATGATTAGAATTTTTTTCCTTCTGAAAATTGGATTGAAATTGCTCATTTAACAAGCATTCTCACCATTATATTTGGAGAAAACTCGAACCTTTCATAAGAAAAATATTTTTAATTTGGTATGATTTAGTTTTTAAATCACTGCTGTAAAAAAAAGTTTCGTATGCAAGATAGATCACAATAATCTTACTCATAATCCCTCTATACTATTATTATTATTATTATTATTATTATTATAGTGTCACATCAACTTATTTACTACATTCTTTTTTTTTTTTTTTTAAAGTACGACAACAATTCAAATAGCATTAATCATTTAGAATTACAAAATATAATCATTGAGTAGACAATTATGCTCCCGTTTGGTACCCATTTTTTTCTCATTCTCATTATTTTTCTCTTTCTTCATTTCAACCACATATTCTATCAATAAAATAAAATTACACATAAATCTAAAAATTCTCCTTACTTTTTAACCACACATACTTTCATCCATCACTATTCAAAAACACATTTTTTACAAAAATGGGTGTCAAACACCCCCATAATAAACACACCTCAAATGACTCATTATTTGCAAATGCCACGGCTCAATGACCGGGGCACTCATTTTTTCTTTCATCTGGCAGTTGATTTGACCGTCGGAGTATAAACGGTTGTTGGACATTTTTCTCGATTGACCGATGACCTTTGCCTTTTAACGGAGTGTTTCAATGTGAAGGTGATGCCTACATGGAGGGGGGTGGCCAAAATTTTGTTTGTTGGCTCATTTTTTTTGTTTTTTGTCAACATTTACTTTTATCAATCATATCAACATTGACCACATGTTCACATTTCCTTTTGCTTCTCCTCCCAAAACTTCTTGAAAAAGCTTTTCTTAATTTTTTTTAAGGTCTCTACTTGGTAGCTTGTCTAGTAAGGAGATGATTGTATCTCAATATTATAGGAAGTACGAAACATTTCTCTCTTTTTGCACCCTCAATGTCAACAATCCCCATATGACACATCAATAAAAGTTTTGGAAGTAACTAAAAATGATCGACCTAATATAATAAGAGTATCCGAATCTTCAGGCATGCCCATATGGCATTTTAATTTATCTAAAATATTGTCCATTATAGTATAGAGGTGTGCACAGTTAGATTTCTCTCGCCTGTCCTCCTCATTTTCATGGATCAAATAATTGTTAGAGTGTGTTTGGGAGCAATTTTTGTGGGATTTTAATCAAAATTATAGTCGTTATAGTCAACCTGTGGGCCCCACCCGTGAGAGAGAAAGTCAAAAATGGTGGTTGATTTGATAGTTAACGCCTAGAATTTTGATTAAAATCTTGATTAAAATTTCTTCCAAACAGGGCCTTATTTTTAATGAAGTTCATATTGGCAAAATCTTAGTATTCTAATTCTCGTGTATTTTGCAAGAGATGAGGTTGGGAGTTTGGAAAAAGAAGATAAATATTTCTTTTATTTATTTACAATTGAGCATAAATTTGTATTTTCAAGTTAAATTAACAATTTTTTAATAAACGATATCACAAATTATTTGTAAATGACTCCTTGGCCCAAAAATGAATTAATTTTCCCAATAAATATAAGTCACATGAGTTGATTAGAAATTTTCAGAATAGATTTTTCAAAATTTTGGATAATTTTGTAAATATATTACAAAACCTCAAGAGTAAAATTTGTTAGATTATGGTAATTAGAAATTTCCAAAATATATAGTGAAATCTGTGTTAGAATTTACGATTTTATAACTCGCTCAGTATAAAATTCGATTGTAATCCATTTTTCAGATTATAAGAACCTAATCGATGACTACACATCTTGGTTCTCAACTTCTTGTGTGTTTGCGTTTATCATCTTATCTCTCATGATGTCTGGTATGAATTCAATTAATCTTATTTCTATAACTAGTCGAGATCGTGATCAAGAAAAACCTGGGAAATGAATACTAAAACCATATATTTACAAAAGTACGTAGTTGAATAATGTTGTTTTTGTGTGAAGCTTGTTAGGCTCCAGGATGATGTGCCAAAGATTACATGTACCTGCTCCCTCTCATATCCTCTTATTACATGCAATCCACTTTGTCAGAGAATTTATCGATCAAGACTTGTTAATACAGAGTGCCTTTTTGGATTTCCCTATCCACACAGTTTCAAATATTGTAGATGCTTGTATAAATGTGACCACGATGAACAAGATGGTACAATCCACAGGGCAAAACCTCTAAATTTGGCTTACTATTTGTGAGATTTTAATAAGAAAACTAAAGTTTTATAATAAGATTTTACTTCATTTCGAGTACTGTAAAGTATCAACAAATTTCATTTTAATAGTTTCTTTCCCTCGAGATTAAGGCATGGTATTCTAAAAAACGTAAAGCATGATTAGATGACAACATCAAATTTCAAACTTTTACGAACTTAAGTGAACCTAGGTGAAGTCTCAACGTAAAAAAAGGTAAATCGGCGCCCAATAAAACAATGGTATATATTTTTTTTGAAAAAAAATGTAAATTACGTGCAAAGAATGTGACCTTTTACAATTTTTTAGATCAAACTCTAGTTGGGGTCCAGATGTTACACAAGTGGAAGGTTTGAGATTTAAATATCAAGAACATTAGTAGCAGACCTATGTGTCCATTTGAGCTAAGTTGGGGGACCTCTGGTGATATTTTCCCTTCATATTTTCTATTACATATCATAGACATAAATAAATACTTACTATGAATAAAAATAACAACAAATAAACCACGATGGATGAATTATCATTATTTTTTTTAAATTTTAATCAAGAATACAATGAAATTGCAACCTCTAAAATTTCAACTCTGTTATATATTTAATTTATTTTTCGAACTTCAAAATTTTTTCTTGGATCAACGTAACAACAAAAAAATTCTTTTCAGATTATGAGAAATCTTGTAATGAATCCATTTAGAAATTCCAAAAACTTCCGTTTAGTATACAATGCAAAATTCAGAATTGTTACAAAGGGGACTGTTATAATCTTATCCTTATACAAGCGATATACACAATACATATAATTATTTTACAATACATCAGAAATTTTGATTTGTTTTAGCAAAGAACATGTCAATTGGAATATGTTTATCCTGTGAAGAAGAAGAAGAAGTCTTGTGCTTCTTCCTCTGCCGAGTTTGACTCATAGTATGGTTCTTCCGATTAAGCCTGACATAAAGTTTTAACGTCAAAAGGTTGTCGACTACAAAGTAAAGGATCAGGGAAGGAAAAAAGACGTCATACCTCTGTTCCAGCTTGGGATTTTGGTTAACACCACTTGATTCCTCCTCTTGCAACCTCTCTGCGAGATGGAAATCAAAATGTTCTTGTCGTTCCTCAATGAAGCTCGGAGGAAGTTCTGCCCCACATAACGAGCACTTGTAATCATTCATCCAAAGCAATGGCCTGTTCGGATTTAGTGAACACCCCGCCTCACCATCTCCAGAGTCGATCCATCCATCTTGGCTACTTTCCTCAATAGGACATGGATTTATTGCATTTGCTACTGTATTGTGGTCGTCAACCTGTGTGACAAAATGCATGTAAGAACAGCCTTAAAGAAAATGAAAACAAAAATATTATCCAACTCTACACATACATTGTTTTCCAAATCATCAATCCACAGATCAAGATTCCTTTTAGTTTCTTCCTTTTTGAGACACAGCATGGAGTCACTGTGATGAAGATCCGGTATTTCATGGGTACCCAGTAAACCAATGGAATCCCATGTGTCAATAGAAAAACTAGTCTCTCTGTCATTGGATAGAGTATCATCATTATTATTCGAGTCTGAGGGTGCTTGATCCACCAGCTTTCTTCCAGAAGCATCTCCTGTGACTATGAACTCAGAGAGTGTCTTTTGTTTTGGGTCAAAGGAGACACCATTTTGGCCTTCTTTGAAATGAGACATTCGCAATCCTGATGAAAGAAAACAACTTAATGCTAATTTTCACAGTAGTGTTTTCCGTCAAATTTAACACAGATTTTATCCAGATTTTTATCTTCCTATCACACTGTCCACTTGATTGACATTTCCACAGAAAAAGTAGGAAACATATTTAGTGGTCTTACCCATCAATCTCAGAGATGCAGGAAGTTCAGCTTTAAGCAGCTTTGAAGCATGTTTTAGTATATCCTCACTTGAGCACGTGTAAGTTGGCAAAGTCACAGCCCGAGTCCGAACCTGGAGATTTCAAATTTGTCGGTAAGAATGCAACAAATCTTTCTCTATACATATCATCACAAATAAAATAGAAAAAAATGAAAAATGAAAGAAAGCAAAGGAAATCAGGCCTGGGATGCAAGAAAAAGGATAAATATTTGAAAAGAGGTGATAAAAACAATCCATTCCAGTTTCAGAACCCAAACAACAGGTATATAGTACCTCAAATGATGAAGTCTTCAATTTTAGGGTCAATGTTCTTCCACAAAGACCTTCTTTCTTCATGTCATTGGAAAGCATTTCTGCAAGATCCACTGCAACATGTTGTGTGGATTAATTTTAGAAGACGCGACTCATCAATTTTACATGCAATAAAAGGACTTCCAATTGTATTCACACGAGCCCCACTCAGGTCAGTATGAGTGTCTTCATCTCAAAATTTCCCACAACATGAGTTAAGAATATTATCCCGTGAAGTTTTCATCCATATTATCGTTAAACAAACTCAGGTTGCTTCTGTCCTATATTCATATGTGCTGTTATAAATCTTCCAGTAAATAAACAGGGAATCTGATGAAGTAATAATCGTAGGTAAGATAGTATATTAAGAAATTGAAACTGGACAATTAATCATAAAAGCAACTGAAGGCTAGCAACACTGAGAAAGAAAACAGCTAAAAGCATAGCATACCTTTCAATGTAACAGGAGCTGCTTTGTAAGAGAAGCCACATATTAATACAAAAGGAGCAACATAATCAAAGGTAAAAGGGCTACAACACTGAAGATTTGAGATGAGAAAATAGGTAACAAAGATAAAACTTTTGCTCTTTTAACTTAAAAAACACATTCTCGTAAATTTTTTGATTCTTGTATCCCAGGCTTAACTATCCTACAGTTGGATTTCCTTCAAAATTACCAGAAAATGGTACAAGAGCAAAGTCTAAAAATTTTCTTATTTAATAATTTAAAAGGAATTATGTCTAATACAACCTGTGCAATGATGGGGATACAAGGTTGCATTGCTAATGGTGGAAAAAGTCAACAAATTCAGATGAACCCATACTTGTGTCATCACCTGATAATTATTACTATCGTCGAAGTTTAATAACTAAGAAACCATGACAAATTACCTAATTTCTTGTAAAGTAATGCCTCATCTTTGGTGGCTGAAAACGTTCTCTCATTACTTATACTTTTTCTCAATGTTGCTTGAGGTGTGTCTGTCCTCCCAAGTCCCAGACCTACAGACAAGAAGAAATCTGCAATGAAGAGGTCAGTGAATCAGTATGATATCACTGAAACAAATGATATAGACAGTGAAAATGTTATAAAAAGAATCTCAAGAATTGGATAATTGCATCTAGCATAATGAACTTTTTGAATAGCACATAGCAAGAGAGCAGCTTAAGAAGTTAAAACTTAGAATCCATACAGAAGTCCTAATCGAAGGATATCTGGAATAATTGATATATTTTGATTTTGAACAGTCCTATAACAGTTTCTCAACGTAGAATCAATGTGTTCAAGGTTATGAGCACAAATTGTCAATGTCACTGCAATTACCTGCTGAGGTAGGGGAAAACAGTGCACAGAGGAAGCTACTCTTTTGCAACATCCCCTCACATGTTGTAATTTCAAAGACATCCTTTAGAACATGTTCAGTGACATTACCAATGCCACCAACCTGCAATGGAGCTCTTCATTGTCAGAATTCAGACTAGTTAATAAACCTGGATAAAATGCTGAATCGTGACGATTAATTAACTGACACTCTCAATGTTAGCAAGTTGTGTTTTAGTCATTTCATTCACTGCTGAGGCTTCAAGCTAATAGTAAGTTCTCTCTCTTTCTGGCCCTTCTCTCTTGAGTCAGCCATTTCTTGTTCCTTTTGCAGAAGGATTTCAATTAATTTTTTGGTAGATTTGATAGATTTAAAGAAAAGTTACTTGAAAATCCAGAAGCCTTCCACAAGTGAGCTCACAATTTGACAACAAATACTTCACTTATTTTGAAATGGTCGTGCCCATGTCACTTGAAATAAGATACAATATATACATATTAGCAAAGCATAACAATCTAATCCATATTAGCTAGTTACAGATCTACTGCCACAAAGTAAGCTCACAATTTCAGACAATAGCCAAATTATTTTGAAATGGTTGTTGCCATGTAGCTTGAAAACAAGGCATGACAATATACACATATTAGTTGGTTCAAGCATCTAATACATACATGCCACAGATAGTTGAAAGAAAAGAATATGCCACCACATACATTAGCAGCCATCATAAAAGTACCTTCCTTATAGGAAGTGAAGATATAAATGTCATGACAGCCATCCGATCATTTGGTAAAACAAATTGGCCATTCGGTTTATTGATATCTGAACAAACCTGGCGAAAGGAGGAAATTCAAAAATCATAAAAAAAATAAAATTATATAAAATTAAGATTAAGGTAACAGGCGAAAAGCTGATTGTTGTTGATCCACCACACAATATTTATTCGATAATGAGCGTTCTAGCAAATAAATCAGTCAATTGACATCGTTACTTCCAAAATAAAGCATTTTACTCCAATTTACAACTAAACAAAGCCCAAGCGCTGAGTTATTAGCTGAAACAATAAACCAGTATAGATAATAAAAAGTTACTCTTACTCCAAATATCAAAAATTAAAATGGTCATAATATTTGATCAATGTATTCTGCTTAATCTGACATAAAATTGATGGAGACCAGATATTAATTCGATTTTCTCTCTAAAAAAATCCCATCATTAACTGTAATTGATTGACTATTTTACCCAAATTATCATATGCAGATCATCAGTTTGGTCAAAGAGTAGCTGGACATAATTACACAAAATAGAATCGCCAGCTCCATTACATGGTTACTTGTACTATTAAAATTTTAGGTTTTTACTTGTAGAAAGTTAGTTTAGCATTTGATCATTAGTGCTCATCGGCATGAGGTTATTTGATATCAATTACACAGAGTCCAAAAATGTTGTATGACCAAGTCCACGCTTTTGTGCATTAATTAAGCATGAAATAAATGGTAATTAGTCCCCTTAAGTAAAATAGCCTACAATACCTTAGCAAGCAAGCGGTTTGGTGCCACCCCAGCACTACATGTGAGCCCAGTCTCCGTGTGAATACTTTCTCTGAGCTCTTCAGCCACCTTAAAAAAGCATAATTACCAAGCATGAAGGATGAAATTAGCATCTAATAAGGCATGGGAAAGATATAATGGAACTAAAATAAAGAAAAATGACAACGCAAGGAATCAGATGAAATCTCGAAGAGATCTCATAGTTCATGTTTTGACATACATCTCCACTAGTCATGCTCCTTTCATTGCAGATACTTGTTATATCTAGGTATGCTTCATCCAAACTCGCAGCTAAAAAGTTGGGATCATATTTCTTGAACACTGATTATGAAGAAGTGCATCAGAAAATTTGGCAAAAGTAATCATATTTGCTAGATCTCAAGGAAAGCCCTCAAAAAGAACTTCTAACCTTTCCTTGTTAAATCGCTATAATGAGTGTACTTCTTAAAGTCTGTTGGGACAAAAATCAATTCAGGACATAATTTAAGTGCTATGAATCCAGGCATCGCAGCGCGGACCCCAAATTTTCTAGCCTGCAAAGGAGACAAATCATGCCCCAACGAAATACAGAGCAATAATTTTTTGGACTTGCAAACAGTTCATCAACATATGTCCAGAGTACACAAGTTACACTATCTCATTAAAAAAAAAAATCAATCGCCATTTAATTCGGTCAGTCATTCAAACCTCATAATTAGCTGTGGAGATCATAGACATGCCACCAACAGCCATTGGCTTTCCTTTTAGTGAAGGATTGCACAGTGTTTCAACGGCTGCATAAAAAGCATCCATATCCACATGCAGCCAGACCCTTGATAGATCACGTGTAGCTTCTAGCTCCACAATCCTTTTATCAGCAATCTTCAAATGATTATACAAAACAAATCAGATCTGCCACATGCCTAATAGGATAGGGTATAAAAAAACTTTGCATGCAGATAATTGAAGCGGCACCATTAATCTCTCCATAACCTATTTACATTTAACTCCTTTTACCATCATGTTCATCACTCTATGGAACTTGGCACCTAGTGCTGTTTCACACTAGATGAGTTTAAGGACTGCCTAAATCCAAAACCCACCCACACACAAACAAAGGACTAAGAAAATAAATGGATATCGTAGATGTTTCTTGGACTAATTTCATGAAAGTTTTATATGTTCTACTCATTCAATTTTGAAGAAATTTGGATATCAGATCATTTCATTCTTCTGCGTCGGCATGCAGCATATAACACGGATACACCAGGGATGACAAAGAACAGGGAGCCGGGTTTCCAGAATTTGCATATGATTCTCTTATAGCAACTAGGACAGGTCCTATATCCTCCATTATACCATATAAATTCTTAGCTTGTTCTAGCGCAAACTTCTACAAAGAGAGCTAATATTTTCACAATTACACAAATCGGGTTATGCTAAATTTCCATGCGTGAAAGTTTTCTGGTGTCTTGCCCCTAGCGTTTTATCATTTCCCAGCTTAATTGTCTTTTTTGAACTCAATGAATAATGACCACCCGAAATATACAATAACCACATGTTCAAAAAATTACTATCTTCAAATCTGATTCTCTCAGTTAATAATTCTTAAGCCAAGAAATTAGAGATGTATAAAATAAGATATACATTACAGTAATCAGAGACGTTTTAATTTTTAAAGCATTTTTCTCCCCTTGTGTTGAAATGTACCTTCTGATAATGATTTAAATCTGCAGCAGCCAGCTTCGCACACTGCACGCGCATATTCTCGATTTTCTGCTTCATATATGCCTCTTTCTTTTCCTCATTTTCGAAATATTTAGACCCTTTGCTCATCTCATACACTATTCTCTGTACCTTATCCTTGTCCACCTTCTCCATACCTAGTAAAAATACAAATTTAAAAAACTTAGCAAACAAATAAAAAATAATCAAAATCAAAGAAACGAACCATAAACTACTGAATCATGTACAATAATGATAAATTGACACAATTACCTGCTTTGGCGTTAGTGTAAGCAGTGTGATACGATTGCCATGGCCTAGCCGAATCGGTTCCCGAAACCGATTTTTCATTTTCCATTTTTCTTCAGTTGGATTTTTGCGAGCGAGCATGGAAAATTGAAAATTGGGGTTAAATATATTGAAGGGCTGGGAAGTGGAAAGAACGCGCCAAAAGAGTACATGGAAAGCTTTTAGTTGGGCCTGGCCAAAATAAATTAAACAAGGGGAAATTATGCAGGTGTTATAAGTTTCAAATTCAAAAATAAGGGACTAAATTTCAATCTTTAAAAATCAGGTGCTATATAAACACTCTAACCCTAATTTTCCACTCAACCCCCTCCCCCCCTCTCTCTCTCTCTCTCTCTTTCGCCTCACCAGTCACCACTCTCTTCCGTCTCGTCTCCAGCTCCACCTTCCCTCCCCTCCCCCTGCTGAGAATCGTAGCAGCGTGCGCTGCTGCGATTCGCCTCTGCAGCAATTCGCGAAATCGCGAATCGCAGCAGCTTGATTTCCTACATCAGCATCAGTGTGGTGGCGTAGCGTGATTTCTTATTTGTCTGCTCATACAAACTCTGTGACATAGCATTGTTCTCAATCATTGAGTTCGGAGCAGTGTGGTGGTTTGTGGTTGTGATTTTGCAGTGGCGTAGTAGTGGTGTGTTGGGGCGTGTGGGTGTGTTGGTTCGACGCCATGGGTGTGGCACATTGGCGGCGGATTGGCTATTGTTTGCTGTTGGTGGATCTGTGGGGCGGTGGTCGTTGGTGGTGGGTTGTTGGCTGGGTAGTCTGTGTTGGTCGATCTATGACCTGTGACCAAGTATCGGTGGTAAGCGGTAGTCTGTGACTAAATTTTTGTTAATCCGTGATCAATTACTCAAATGTGACCAAATTTTTGTTAATATGTGACCAATTACTCAAATGTGACCTAAAAATTTAATAATCTGTGACCTCGAAATAATATGTGACCAACTAATTTAAAAAGCTGTGACTTCGAAATAATTTGTGACCTACAAATTTTTTGATACGTGACCTCGAAATAATTCGGGATCAAAAAATTTGACGATATGTGACCAGTAAATAAATCTGTAACTTAAAATTATGAATATGTGACCATTAATCACAAAATGTGACTTTTTTAATTATTATCCTTATTTAATAAATATTTTTAATTAATTAAATAAATACCTGATTTTTGAATTTTTAAACTATTTACCTTGTTTTTGAATTGAGGTAAATAATACACCTTAAATATGATTTTTTTCCCATTAACACATTGCCCCAGATACATTTTGGAGGTAAAATTTGAATCATATTCAAGACAATAGTGCCTCCTTAATTAGGAGAACAATACACAAATCAAGTATTTACTTTCACTCATTTCAAAAATCCAAAAACAAGTTTGAAAATTCACAAAGCAGGTTTTTTAAAATTTTAATTAATAATTAATAAATTATTAAATCAGCTTATTATTAAATATTTAATTCTAATATAATATAATATAATTACCCCACCCCACCTCCACCACCCCAACCGACTTTCCGATCACCACTTTTCTCCGACGACTGTTCCGGCGATCGTTTCGGCGACTGCTCCGATTCCGACGAATATTTCGATGACCGTTCCGCCACTTTTTAGGTCATAATTCAAAATTTTCATAGGTCACAACTTAAAAATTTAAAAGTCACAATTTGGTCATCGGTCACAATCACAAAATTGAAAACTTACGTTACTTATTTTGTGGTCACAGACATTAATTTATTGGTGACAAATTGATAATTTTCATGTCACAAATTAATAATTTTTAGGTCACACAGCTTACACTCGTCACAGTTTATCGAATTCATTGGTCACAATCACAAAATTTATATTGTAACCACCGAATGTTATGGTCACAGATTATTTCTCCACCACAAATTAAATTTTTTTTTTATAGGCCACAATTGAAAAAATCCAAATTTTTACTGGTCACAACTCTATTTCAGTGAGTTATAGTCACAATTTCTAGGTTACAGACACCCACCCTCGACTCAACTTATCTCATCCCAAATCACTGCACAACCACTGCACCAGCACCGCCTCCAACGCTGCCGCCACTACCCAAATCACACCACAAACCGCAACTACAAAGCAAACACCACCAAAAAATGGAATCGAAAAATATCAAACCCACAGATCCGCCATAGCAAAACTCAAAAACTAAAAAAAAAGAAAAAAAAACCAGATGAAAATAACAGATATGCGCCATTACGCTTCGAGCGCTGGAGAAAAGACAGAGAACCCAACTGCAAGCGATGCTGCTTCAAGATTGGGACACAAGTATTCTTCGATCGCTGGCGCCGCTTCAGATTTGACGTGGATTGCAGGGCACGCATGAAGTCGTTAGTACCTGCTAATCGACAATCCTGACCACCCCCCGCTTCAGATTTGCTGTGGAAGAAGAGTCCTTGTCGGCGGCGGCGAGAGAGGGAATAGAAAAGAGAGGCTGACGGGGAGTAGTGAGAGAGAGAGAGTAGCGGGGAAATTGTTCGAATGATTAGGGTTTGGTTGATCGACAATCCTAACCACCTCCCACTTCAGATTTGCTGTAGAAGAAGAGTCCTCGTTAGCAGCGGCAGCTGCGGTTGCGGCGGCAAGAGAGGGAATAGAGAAGAGAGGTTGACGGGGCTTGGTGTGAGAGAGAGAGTAGTGGAGGAAATTGTTCGAATATAAATATAAAAATAAAAATAAAAAAATGTTTTTAAATTATTAATTAAAACCCGATTT